TTTCAGGAAGAATATGCACAGTATGTAGTTACAAGCCAAAGAAGTTTACTGGAGGTCATGGGTGAGTTCCCGTCAGCCAAACCTCCTCTTGGTGTTTTCTTCGCTGCAGTTGCTCCCCGTCTGCAGCCCAGATTTTATTCTATTTCATCCTCCCCAAAGTGAGTACACACAGTTATACGTTGAAGGGCACCTGAAATAAATTATTTATACTTTTTCCTTGTAGTTGCTTAATGTTATCTGTTATATTTCCAGAATTGCATCATCAAGAATCCACGTGACTTGTGCACTGGTGTATGAGAAAACTCCTACAGGACGAATTCACAAAGGTGTTTGCTCGACATGGATGAAGGTACTTCTAATTTTATGCTCTTTATTTCAGGGTATAATTCATTAATCAGTTTTTTAAGCCTACACAATTGGTAAATGAGATATTTTTTGTTTAATCTCTTATCAGAATGCATTGCCTATGGAGGAAACCCTTGACTGCTCGTCTGCACCAGTTTTTGTTCGAACCTCTAATTTCAGGCTTCCTTCTGATCCTAAAGTACCAATTATAATGATCGGCCCTGGAACTGGCTTGGCTCCATTTAGAGGTTTTCTCCAGGTCTGTAGTATATGACTCCTGGCCCTTACTATTATTTCAATTTTCAATAAAAAAAAAAAAACGTAGTTAACTTTGTTTTCCTCTTCAATAAAAACAGGAAAGGTTAGCTTTGAAGGAATCCGGTGCTGAATTGGGTCCTGCCATATTATTTTTCGGATGCAGGAACAGCAAAATGGTGCGTGACATATACTTAGTATACGCTATTGCATTTTGACGTTAAGTCGAATTTTGTACCAATTCTTAGCGCTTTAAAATTTTTTGCAGGATTTTATTTACGAAGATGAGTTGAACAACTTCGTCAAAGCTGGAGTTATTTCTGAGCTCGTCCTTGCCTTCTCGCGCGAGGGCCCAACTAAGGAATATGTTCAACACAAAATGACACAGAAGGTGCCACCCATTTTTTTACTTCCCCTAGATGCTAGAGTCCAATGCCCATATTTTTTTAATGATATCTTAGATATTTTCCATTTCCTATTTTATAGTGGTGTGTTTTAGATTTTTGTCTAAATAGACATGTGTCGAAATATAACAGGCTTCAGATGTGTGGAGCATGATCTCCCAAGGAGGGTATGTTTATGTGTGTGGCGATGCTAAGGGCATGGCACGTGACGTCCATCGAACTCTCCACAACATTGTGCAAGAGCAGGTATGTGTATATACTATACAATCACTTCACTTGGAAGAATTAAAAATAAATAAATAAATAAATCTGTCGGCAGATTTTCTCTTTATTTATAACCACGTGGTGCTTTTGCTTATCGGTTCTACTGATTCTTGGTGCAACTACTTTTTACATCTTTTTTGTGGTTCTCTCGGGTTAAGAGGGAGCTTCTTGAACACCACTACATTTGGCCCAGTCCTTTTTTGTTGATTTGTCATGAGATGCTGATCGATGGTTTTTTATATACATGACAACCGGTCATTTACTATTAATAATATTATGTTAT